TGAAGACTGCCACTGCGACTGAATCTCTTCCCACACTCTGAGCATTCAAAAGGCTTCTCCCCTGTGTGGGTTCTTCGATGAGCTTGAAGAGTGCTTCTGCAAGTGAATCTCTTCCCACACTCTGAGCATTCAAAAGGCTTCTCCCCTGTGTGGGTTCTTTGATGTTCTTGAAGACTGCGACTGTGAGTAAATCTCTTTCCACACTCTGAGCATTCAAAAGGCTTCACCCCTGTGTGGGCTCTTGCATGATTCTGAAGATGACTACTTTGTCTAAATTTCTTTCCACAGTCTGAGCATTCAAAAGGCTTCTCCCCTGTGTGGGTTCTTGCATGATTCTGAAGATGGCTATTCTGTCTAAATCTCTTCCCACACTCTGAGCATTCAAACAGCTTATCCCCTGTGTGGGTTCTTTGATGATTCTGAAGACTGCCACTGGTACGGAATCTGTTCCCACACTCTGAGCATTCAAAAGGCTTCTCCCCTGTGTGAATTCTTAGATGTAATTGAAGATTGCCACTGCGACTGAATCTCTTCCCACACTCTAAACATTTAAAAGGCTTCTCCACTCTGTGGATTTTCTGGTGCACAAGGAGCTGTGATTTGTATTTGAAGTAGTTTCCACACCAAAAGCATTTAGATGCATTCATTTTACTGTGCTTTCGAAAATGTATATTAGTTTTTCCTCCCATTAAGAGCATCATTTCACTCTCTGAGCAAATAAACTTCTTCCCTCCTGAATTATTCCTTTGGTGTCGAACAAGGTCTGATTTCTCTGAGAATCTCTTGCCACAGTCTGAGCAGCTATAAGGTTTCTCTCCTTTATGTGTTCTTTGACCTCTAAGGAGCTGTGCTCTGCCAATCATGGTCTTTCCACATTCCAGCCATTGAAGTTTCCTCTTTCCACTGTGCATTCGTAAATGGACTTTATACTGGCATTGATCTAAGAAGTTCTTTCCACACGCCAAGTACTTGTATGTTTCTTTCTCCATGTGCATTACTTCTTGGGAATCCCGCCCTTGGCAAGGAATGGGTTTACCCCTGTTTTGGTTCATGTGGCTTCTTTTCTGCCTCTTATGTCCAACTTGGCTTCTGAAGTTTCCTCTCAAGTCTTCATTCCTGACTTCATTTGGTGACAGAGGATGCAGTTCCTCATCCTCCTCATTCCTCTGATCATCCCCAGCTGGAATAAAGAAAGAGATCCTGTTAGAACCCACATATAGAAGTCTGATCTGCTCCTGATTTTCCATCTGCACTCCAAATATTACAGCGGCTTCTTCCCGCTGTATGCTGAAATGTACAATAACATACACCTTAAAGATCTATTAAGGCTCCTGCATGAGAGACGCTGGGTTTGGACTCTGACCATTTATATGGCTCTCCAGCTGTGTGACTTTTTGGATGTGAAGGAAAGGCTCTTTACTGACTGAAGCTCTTTCCGCACTGCAAGCAATTATACTGTTTCTCTCCTAAGGAAATTTGATGCAAAATGACGTTCATTCTCTGACGGAAGGTCTTTGCAAAGGCCACACCTTCATTCTCCCATGAGTGGAATCTCTGGTTAGGATGGAGGCCTTTGTTCTTTCTCTTTTTGATTGACTCTTCACCTTGGACTGGGATTTCACGGAAACCCCCTCCTCAGTAAGGAATGGGCTTATCCCTGCTCTTACCTGCATGGCTTTTCTCCTGCCTCTGTGGTCCATCTCCACCTCCAAAGTGTCCTACAGCATCTTCATTCTTGACGTTTTCCAAAGGGAACATCTGGAATTCCCCAGCTGTCTCCTCTACATCTGCTGCTGGAATAAAGTAAGAGTTTCATTCAGTACCCATGTAAGAAGCCAATGCAGCAGTCAGGCACTGCTCAGGAATTTGTGGGCATTTCTTTTATCAGATCATCTTTCCTCCCAAACTGAGACGCTGGTCACACCTTATCCCTGCCAGGCCCTCCCGTAGAGCTGTTTTTATATTCCCTCTGTCCCTTCCCTCCCCAAACTCCCCAGATGTATTCTAAGGGGGAAGTGGCAAAATATGGTTCCCCCACTGCTCCCATTTGACTTCACATGCTTTTTGAATTTGATTCTCTGCACTTGACAATTAAATACAAGAGGTTACAGGGCTGACAGTTTAAGTGGGAATCTCTTTAATAACACACGATCCCGCTCTCTACAGGCAAGGACTGATTCCCATCACCCCAACAGAGGGTGCTGTGTGATTTGGCGTAAGTCCCTTCCCCTTGGGTGGCAGTGTTAACTGGTGGGACTGCCCCCTGCAGGCCATGCCGGCAAAGTAGAACAGCTCCACAGAAAGCGCTCAAACCCATTTCCACCTAACAAAAAGGCCTGAACACATCCAGCTCATGAGCCTCCAGATCCCAGGCCCCAGAAGGCCTCCCTCCCTCCCTCCTTACCCAGCGAACTTGAGAATTCTACCAAACCAAGAGTCAGTTAGAAGTGAAGAGGAAAGGTCCCATTGCTATTCCTTGCCCCTTCCCTTGGCATACATGTGAAGGATACCCCCTTGCAGGTCGTTCATTTGGGAAGGAAATACTCTCTTGAGAACTTCCTGAGAAACTCTCCAGCCATTCTTCGAACACAAGGCCTTGGTCCATATCCACCATAGTCTCTGTTACATTCCCAGCTTCTTTGGCACACAAACACACACAGAGACACACACACACGCAGACACACACAGAGACAGAGAGACAGAGCAGTCCTATGTGGGGACGGGGAAACTCCAAGGAAGAGGAAAAATTATTCTGGAAGGTCAGAAACATGATCAAGATCAAAGACCAGAATCCTAACCAGTATAAGGGGGATGGACACTTTACAGATCACAGTCAGAGCTGATGGCCGTAATCCCATCTCGGGGAATGGCACGTTGTAAAGCCTGGCAAATGAGAAATTTGGATCTGGTCCCTTCCAGCGTCTTTCAGAGGAACTCTCAGCACCACCTCAGCCATAGGCCAGGACATCCTCTCTGGCTTGGGTGATGGACACCACACTGGCCATGCTGAACCATCGTTTTCACTGCCACCCCCACCTCCTTGAGGCCCCTAGCGGGGGGGGGGGGGGGGAGGTAGCCAGGCAGTCCTCCCAACCACGTGTTGCTGTTCAATATTTTGATTCATGCATCATCCCAATGGCAGCAATTTCCACCTTTGGCACCTGTGAAAGACCCTTACCCAGGGAGGCCACACTCCCGTAGTTCTCCAGCATGACGTCCCTGTAGAGGGCTCTTTGGCCAGGAGCCAGCAAGGCCCACTCGGCCTTGGTGAAATACACGGCCACCTTCTCAAAGGAGAAGGGAGCCTGAAAGGAAAGGCAGATTCCCTCGTCAGAGTTCAGTCCCGGCAGAAACTACAGTCCTGACGGGGGCATTCTCGGAGGGTGCAGGAGGTCGTGTTTGGGATGCGTAAAGAGAGTGGGGTTCAGAGCTCAAGCCTCCCTTGAGAAAGGAGGGAGGTCCTGACTATCCCCCTGTCTCCCCCCCCCCTACCTGGACCAGAGGTGGAGCAGCCGTTTCCACTCCCCTGAAAAGATGACAGGTTGACAACATCTCTTCTCTGCCTGCAAGGGAGACAAAATTGGAAGGATGAACGTTAACCTCAAGTTCCTATTTTGTCTGCTGCTTTGAATTCTGCTTCAGCCATCCCTCTTCCGAGGGCTGTGACACCTTGTCTTCTTTACACTCAGAAAAACCTGTAACGAATTTTAGAAAGGTGTTGGAGAGGTGGAAGAGAAGCACCAGGAATCCATGAGCCTCGAGGTGTCACAAATGCTGCCTACTCTCCTGAGAGCCTTGAAATGATCTCTGTGAACCCCGGAGCTCCAAAGGTGGCAGCATCCCTGCTGGATGAGACCAAAAGCCCAGGCGAGCCATTCTTCCCCCTGCTGGGCCCTCCCACCCATCCTGGAGCCTGGACTGGCAGGAGAAAAAGAGGGCACCAGATATCATGTTGCATGACAAGTCGCCATCGCAGCCAGCCCAAAACCCAGATGTGATTTTAGTGCATCAGCCAAGGCTCTGGAAACTTCAGGGTACAACCGATGGGTTTCCGGGACATCTGCTGACGCTCTGACTTCATATACAGACATTAGGCCAGTCAAGACATTGACATGACTTCACGCCCACCCCATGTTCCACCCTCAAACCTCATAGGAGTGCCATGCCATGCCGTGCAGCCCGAGTCCAGTATCCTCTCTCTCACTGTGGCCTGCCAGATGCCCCTGGAAAGCCTTTAAGCAGGGGCACAGAACCCACACTACTGCCCCCTAACAATGAGGTTTCAGAGGTCTGCTGACCCAGAATATGTAAAGTGCTGTGAAGTCACAGCTGACTTAGGGTGAACCCATAATCATTCAAGGTGAGAGACCTTCAGAGGTGGTCTGCCACTGCCTGACCCTGCATAGCAACCCTGGACATAGGTGGATCGCAACCCTGGTAGTCTCCTGTGCGAGAACCAACCAGGGCTGCCCCTGCTTAGCTTCTGAGATCTGAGGAGACTGGGCGAGCCTCGGCCATCCAGGTCTGGGGAATGTGGACGTTCCATTTATTCACCTTGGCTAATAGCTGCGCCCAGATTTCTCTTCCTTTCCTTTTTTGAGCCACCTTGAGACCCTCTAATGGAAGGAAGGGGAGAGCTGTACATTTTAATTTATGTAAATAAGAAAGAAATTGTCCTCCATGAATCTGTCTACTCCCCTTTAAAGTGGAGCGCTCATCACTACATGCTTCGGCACTCTGTGTCCCAGTACTCCGCTCCATGTAGTCTGCAAAAGTATTCTCCTTTTCTACTGTCCTGAACCTTCTGCCCAACAACTTGACTCGGTCTCCCGATCCCACCTGGGCAGGAGGCACCCTTACCACTTGACGGGGCACCTTGGGGATCCTCCTGGGCCTGTGCCTTCTGACTTTCTTCTGATGGAGCTCCTTCTGCCTCAGAGAACTTTGCTTCCATCTTCACGAATCGTCCCCACATCTGAAACAACAGCAAGGGAGATAAGAAAGAGGAGGAATGGAAATATCTAGCGAAATATCTAGAGGTAGAAATATCTAAGAAAAGATGGGAACAATGCACTGAGGAATTATACGAGGGAGATGAAAGGATGACAGATTCCTTTCCAGAAGAATCTTTTGAAGAAGAACCAACGGTTTTAGAAAGTGAAGGGAAAACTGCACTGACTATTCCAAGGCACAGAAAAGGAGTCCTTCAAAATCTTAACAAGAATTTGCTAACAAAGAAAGAAAACAATGGCTCACTGTCTGTGAGTTACGTGGAGCTGAGAGAGCTCTGAGGGAACTGCGCTTGAGAGAACTGGTCTGAGAGAGCTGTGACTGACCCAGGGTCACCCAGTTGGCTGCATGTGGGGGAGTGGGGAATCAAACCTGGTTCTCCAGAACAGAGTTCACTGCTCTTAACCACTACTCCAAACTGGCTCCCAGTTGTGGTAGTGGAGGAGGGTTTTTACGGATACTGTGGACCGCCAAAAAGACAAATTAGTGGCTTCTAGATCAAATCAAACCGCAATTTTCTCTAGAAGCTAAAATGACTAAAATTAGGCTATCGTACTTTGGTTACATTACAAGAAGAGTCATTGGAAAAGACAATAATGCTAGGAAAAGATGAAGGCGGAAGGGAAAGGAAAAGAGTAAACATGGGATGGATTGACTCAATCAAGGAAGCCAGGGCCCTCAGTTTGGATATAGGACGTTTTGGAGGACATTAATTCATAGGGTCGCTAAAAGTCAGAAGCAACTTCAAGGCAGTTGACACGCACACACAGAGAGAAATATCTGACAGGAAGCCTTAGGATAAGGTCACTGCTTGAACGGAGTGAATGAACCCCCCTCACCTGCTCTGCCTGCCTCTTCTCCTCTGCCTGACTCAGGAGGAAACCTTCGGCCAGGGCCACCGCCTGGGAACTGGTCTCTGGCCCACATCCTCTGACCCAGCACTGCATGTCCTGGGGCAGGACGGCCAGGAACTGCTCCAGGATCACCAGGTCCAGCATCTGCTTCTTGGTGTTCCTCTCTGGCTCCAGCCACCGGCTGCAAAGTCTATGGAGCCGGCTGCAAACCACTCGGGGCCCATCAGCCTCATGGTAACAGAACTGTCGGAAGCGTTGGCTGCATACACCAGTAGTCATAGTGTCCTGAACCAAGATCTCTGGAGCAGCTCTTTCCCAAGATTCAGCAGCACTCCCTGCTTGGATGGGATGGCGACCTTTCCTTGATGTCTTGCCAGTTCCAGGGCCTTCTGGGTCCTCCTCTTCCACCTCCTTCCCCTTTCTCTTGGGTTGCTTCTGACTGTGGAAAGACATTCTTATTCACTTGCCTAGAGGAAAAGGGAAAGATATCCAAAAGGCAGAAAGAAACCAAAAGAGAAAGGAGTTATATCTATGACTCTGGACAAGAGACACCTAAGTGGATCAGAAGGAGTGTTTGTGTTTAGCTTGTGGATCAGGATTAATGTCACTGGGTTATTTTAAGTATCAAGCTTTTTGAGTTATGTTTGTTTGGGCCTTCAGAAAATTATAACATATCTATTTGGCTCTTTAAAAATCTACAGTGGATGTTATGAGCTTGGCCTCCAATTTCTGGGGGCCACCCTGTCCAGTGGGTACATCTCCAGGTAAACTGGAGCTCAGGACAAAGTGATTTAGAGCACTTTATAAGGGACAGAAAGCCAAAATTTGTGTGGAGATCTATCACAGACGGTTGAAATAAATAAAGGTCTTGGCAAGGCTGCCCCCTGTCTCCATTATTGTTTATTTTGACTCCTGAAGTCCTAAACGACCAAATCAGAGCAGACAACCATATTAGAGGTCTAAAACTTAAGGGTGAAGAATATAAGCTTCTAGCTTTTGCGGATGATCTAGCCTTTATTTTGGAAAATCCGCATAACACAGCTATTAGGTTATTGTCTGTTATACAAGAATATGGTGAGGTAGCGGGACTGAAAACCAAACTTAAAAAAAACAAATATGCTGGTCAAAAACCTGACATCAACACAAGCAGACTACTTGCAAGAACAGACAGAACAGACATTCAGAAAAAGATTAAGTATTTGGGAATAAATCTAACTAATAAATGCAGCTCATTAATAGAAAATAACTACACTGAACTTCTTAAAGAAGCAATGATCTTCTAAAATGGAATTCTCTCCAATTATCCCTTATGGGAAGAACAGCTGCCATCAAAATGAATATATTGCCGAAATTGCTATTCCTTTTCCAGATGATACCAGTTCTTAAAAAATCAAAGTTATTTTAAAGAACTCGACAAAATAACATTACAATTTCTCTGGCACGGAAGGAAACCTCAGATCAATCTTAAAATACTACAAGAGTCTAAGAACAGAGGGAGCTTTGCCCTCCCAGATTGGCTGGTATGTTATAAAGCATCTGTTCTAGCCTGGATTAAAGATTGAATAACACGAGACAATGAGAGACTTTTAAAAATAGAAGCCCATTACTTGTATCTGGGTTGGCACACATTCAATCTAGATACAATATAAGTCTGTAGGTTTTTATGACAGTTTTCTAGAAATCGATAATATGTTAATGTATACAAACCAAAAATGTACCAAAAAAATGTATGACCTGCTTCTTGAAGATAAAATGCAAGACGAAGTGGTCAAAAGTGTGATGACAAAATGAGCCCAAAACTTAGGGCACAATATTGATTTAGAACAATCGGCTCAGATTTGAAAAAAGAGCCTACAAATCACTAGAGCAATTTCCTTTAAAGAAAACATTTATAAAATGTTTCACAGGTGGTATATCACTCTGGATATGCTCTCAAAAATGAATGTCAGTTGCTCTAATCTTTGTTGGAAACGCCAGAGCAGAACAGGATCCTTCTGCCATATGTGATGGAATTGTAATAAGGCCAAAACCTATGGGGCAGGAATACATGAAATAATTCAAAAAAGTTTAGGAATCTATGGCCTTTACCCCGGAACTGTTTTTGCTTAGTATACCACCGAAACAGAGTCCCAAAAATGATTTACATTTCATACTCCATATTATTATTTCAGCTAGAATCCTGTTCGCTAAATACTGGAGGAAACCTGAACTACTATCTCGATCGGAAATCATCTGTAAAATAGTAGAAGCAGCTGAAATTGATAAGTTGACGTTTTCCCTAAAAGATAAGACAGAAGAACAATTCATAAAAACGTGGTCAACGTTTTATAGTTGGGTCGAAGCACAAAAATAAATGAACTATACACACACACACACACACACACATATATATATGTAGGGCTTTTTTGTGGAAAAAGCCCAGCAGGAACTCATTAGCATAATAGGCCACATCCCTGGCAGCACAGCTCATTAGCATATTAGGCCACACCCCATGCCTTCCCTTGGCTTGCCCGAGCACCCCGTGGCTGCAGGGAGCCCAGGCAAGCTGGCCCTTGGACAGTCTGGGGAAGGCACGGGGAGGCATTTAAATGCCTCCCCAATCCTTCCAGGGGGGCCCCTGGCCGGCCGGCCTCGGAGTCGCCAGGGGGGTCATTCTCCAGGCCTTCCCTCTGTAGCCACGCACGCAGAGGTTTTAGCTGTAGTGGGCGTGGCCAACTCTGAAGCCAGCCGGAACTCAGTTCCTGTGCGTTCCTGCCCAAAAATAGCCCTGTTATATGTATATATGTATGTATGTATATTGGAGCTGCGGTGGCTCAAGTGGTTAAGACGCTGAACTGCAGGCTGTGGAAGGTCAGTAGTTCAGCAGTTCAAGACCCAGGTGCCACATGATGGAGTGAGCTCCCATCTCTAGTTCCAGCTCCTGCCAACCTAGCAGTTTGAAAGCAAGAAATTGCAAGTAGATAAATAGGTACCACTTCGATGGGAAGGTAACAGTGTTCCGTGCGCCTTGGTGTTTAGTCATGCTGGCCATATGACCACGGAAACGTCTTCGGACAGCGCTGGCTCTTCGGCTTTGAAACGGAGATGAGCACCGCAACCCTAGAGTCGGATTCGACTGGCTTTCAAGCAAGGGAACCTTTATGTTTGTATTAAAAAAGAGGGGGAAATTGTGAATATAATACTTAAAAAGTGGAAGAAGATAAACATTTGTTTGTTTCTCTGTACTCTGTAAAATACAAGGAGAAAAAAAAGACTGTAACAGTCCAATAGGAGAACTACTTAGTAAGCTCATGTGATATAAGGCAACAATGCTAGCCTACTTTTATCCCAATTATGTTATGTCATGTTGTTTTTTCATATTTTTGATGGCTGTTTTGTTTTCTTGTTGTTAAAAATAATTAAAAAAAGAAATATTTAAAAAAGAAAGGACAAAGCGACTGGTAAGGGCTTAACCATTGCAGACCATCTGTAGGCCGGAAGGGCTGGGCAATAGTTCTGCCCAAGGAGCCAGCAGAGGGGAAGGGGCAGAGGGGCCTCTCCAGGTCAGGGCACACAGGGGCTGCTGGCGGCAAACAGGAGCAGGAGGAGGAGGCAGGGATGGGGCAGAGGTCCTCAACCGCTTCCTAGCTGCTCTGGTCAAATGGTTAAGAGTGAACAAATAGGAACGGAACCCTGGAAAGACAGAAGTCGTACTGGCTGGGAAAGCAGAAGTCGTGAGGGACGTTTTGTTCCTCACTTTTGATGGGGTTCAGCTTATCCTCGCCGACTTAGTTAAGAGCTTTGCTTTGGCATTGTCCTGGACCCAACTTTATTGCTGGAGAAGCAACTTAAGGCAGTTGCAAAAAAGGCTTTCTCCTGACTCAGCCTAGCTCAAAAAATGACCCTTCCACCCACCAGGATCCATGCCACGGTGACATGGAGACTAGGCTAGATCAATTACATAAAACCAATCCAGATACTTCAGATGGTGCAGAACGCCAGGGCTCAGCCATTGTCAGGAGCAGTGTTCCCTCTAAGCTGAGTTAGTGTGAGCTAGCTCACAGTTTTTGAGTCTCCGGCTCACACAGTTTTGTCTCAGCTCAGGAAGGAT